TAGAATCATTAAGGTTGGAAAAGACCTCAAGGATCATCAAGTCCAACTGTCAACCCACACCACCTAACCCACTAACCCATGTCCCGAAGCACCACATCTACAGGTTTCTTGAACCCCTCCAGGGATGGTGACTCCACCACTTCCCTGGGCAGCCTGTTCCAATGCCTGATCACTCTTGCAGTGAAGAAATTTTTTCTAATATCTAGCCTAAACATTTTTCTTACTGTCACAGAAAACTATTTGAAAAGCCTAAAATTATATGAAAACTGCTGCAGGAAAGATATGAATTCACATTTTCAAAGATCATGGGAAAAAAATTATTCAGTAGTGGGGAATAAACAAGGTAGCAAACCTGATAGAAAAATTCTATTGATTTTAGCATAGTGGAAACTCATAGGAGTTTGCAGCAATGAGCTGAAGCATCCACTTTTTTTTTTTTTTTTGTATTTGTAATGCAAAATTTTCATGAGAATAGAAAATTTGAATATTCTTTGTACAATGCCATTCTACAGTTAAAGACTAAAATTTACAGAATAATAATGAACATTTATAGGACAAAAAACACCCCAAAAAACCCCACCCCAACAAAACAGACTTCTTCATACAGGATATCCAAGATGCTCCATGAAAAAAAAAAAACTAATTAGTTTTAGGTAGTCTCATCTATCCTAATTCGTAACAGACATTCAGGCTTATAAGCTAAAGAATGAGATCTTGACTCAACAATGCCACTCCCATTTCTGATGGGGAAGATGCTTATGTCTTCTGCATTTCATCTTCCATACGAGCACAGCCTTTTGGAGTAACCTATAGAGCAGTTGTGGTCAACGGCTCTATGTCTGGATGGAGACCAGTCACAAGTGGTGTCCCTCAAGGGTCTGTCTTGGGACCGGTGCTCTTCAACATCTTTATCAATGACACAGATGAGGGAATCGAGTGCACCCTCAGTAAATTTGCAGAGGACACCAAGCTGAGTGGTGCAGTTGATACAAGAGAGGGAAGGGATGCCATCCAGAGGACCTGGACAGGGCCACAAGGATGATCAGAGGGCTGGAGCACCTCTCCTATGAGGAAAGGTTGAGGGAACTGGGCTTGTTCAGCTTGGAGAAGAGAAGGCTCCGGGGAGACTTCATAGCGGCCTTCCAGTACTTGAAGGGAGCCTATAAACAGGAGGGGGAGCGACTATTTACAGGGGTTGATAGCAACAGGATGAGGGAGAATGGTTTTAAACTAAGAGAGGGGAGATTTAGGTTGGATATTAGGCAGAAATTTTTCACTGTGAGGGTGGTGAGGCACTGAACAGGTTGCACAGAGAAGTGGTAGATGCCCCATCCCTGGAGGGGTTCAAGGCCAGGCTGGATGAGGCCCTGGACAGGCTGCCCTAGTGGCTGGCAACCCTGCCCACAGCAGGGGGGTTGAAACTGGATGATCTTTAAGGTCCTTTTCAACCCAGGCCATACCATGTTCCAAATCATGTAAAATCCCTATTAAATGTAAAACTGTAGCTACTCGTCCTACAGGAGACTGCAGTGCTGAGGAACACTCCCTGGCATCTGCATCATTCAGGGATATAAATTATCACCCAGGTGGTGTTGGGATGATGGTTGGACTTGATGATCCTTGAGGTCTTTTTCCAACCTTAATGATTCTATGAAATATATTTTTATTTATTAGGTTCATAGCCTTGTTGCACAGTAAATGCCTGTGTCAACCAAGTGGCAAATCTCCAGAACTTCAGAGTTTAGATTTTGTTTGCAAAAGTATCCAAAAATTTGGATGTTTGTCTACAGTGTAGATTATTTGGGACCTCTGAAATTTTACAAGATTGAAACTTCTTATAGCATTTCCAAGCTTAACAATGGATTCCAGCACTGCCTGGAAGTGGACTAAAAAACAAACAAACAAACAAACAAACAAACAAACAAAAACCAAAAAAAACTTACAAAAAAAGATAAATGTACTAAAGTTTTGTAAGGTCTTCCAAAAAGCCCACTATCAGGACAGTCTCTTGATGCTTGTTTTGTCAAAGATGAGTTGTTTTTCAGAACTAAGGGGAAGGTTCAGGGTTCATTCATTTTTAGGTTTGTTTAAGCTGTTCCAGCCCATGCTACAGCCATCAAGAACTAGGACAGGAGTGAGAAAAAAGAAAAAGGTATAAATTCTGCCACTGTTTTCTGTCATTTAGATTTAAGATCATTTGCAATACTAAAGAATTATCTGAGCTGACCATCGTTGCTGTGAATGAACTCTGAATTAAGAAAAGTAAGCAAGAATATTTAAAGCAAACTATCCCTTTGTAATTTTAAATAATCAAAAGCAAGCAGAGCTGACAAATGTTGAGAATAGGTGAAGAAGAGAAAAGATAGTCAATCTAGATTTGGCTTTCTCAAGAAAAAAGACACAGAGAAAGCAGGCATCAGTCTGGTGGCTCAAATTCCCTTATGGATGTAAAAATAAATCACAGCTCTGAATGAATTAACCAGAAACGATGGACACAAAATTATTCCAAAAGGTTGTGGACATAAACTGTCAAGGTGTTAAGATTTCTAGTGAATAGACTGAACCGAACAAAAAGCTGGTCACAATGTTTTCAATTAATTAAAATGGTATGTGGAAGGATTTCTTTTTCGGACGAGATTTTTTTGGGGTAAACAGAGATTTTTACCTGAGAAGAAGACAGCAGGAGGCAGATGCAGTCTTAAGACTGCCTTTTCTGATCAATGATGGATTAATATCAGGCAGAGATTTAAAGCTGTGAATCCTGGACCAGGGATCATCTCTCTTCTCCCTTCACAAATTCCACATCCAAACGTGCACGTTTCTTTCACCTTTTTTGCATTAACAACCTCAAAACTTGCTTCAAAACCAATGCTCTGATGTGGTTTATTTTCCCTGGTTTTTTTAGGGGGACAGATGAACACTTCCAAGAGGATTCGCTTTCATTCCAACACAGAATAAAAACAAATTCTGAAACCTTGAAAGCTGGGCTGAAATGGAACCACCACTTTTTGGTTAGCCCTGCTAAACCAACCCTCTGCTCTTTGGTCAAGCGTCACCTGCAACAACAAATTTCACCAACCAAAAGCAACAGCTCAAAAGAGGCCTTAACCTGAGGACTTTCTCAGCTCTTTCAGAAGAACGTTTGATGGGACTATCAAAAGTAGCTCTAGCACTGCTAAAACTGAAACTGCAGCTAGGCCATCAAACCATCTTTTTCTCCTCTAAAACTTGTTTTTACAGCTTGAAATATTGCTGATGATTTCAGTCATGGGTAAGAACCAAGACACTGGTCACTTCAAAATTTAAGGCTGCTTTGATTGTATAAGAAATACTATGAAAATGTAAAATTAAAAGAGCACTAGTGTCTTGCTGATATTGACCAAGTATATTATTGGCAATCCTGTCTACTGCCAATCAAAGGAAAAAATATTTAAACATTAGATTGATGTTTGCATTTATTTAATTGAAAGATTAAAAGCATCTGATTGATGAGGGCATGATGAGTACTTGCTATTAGCAATACTTAAGCTGCCTAAAATGTCTAATTCCATGTCTACAGTTGTACTGACACACTACTCATTAATAAATAAAAAGCAAATAAGCACTTCTCCAAATAGTAGTTGCTGACTGCTGAAAAATTTGCCAGCATTGCTAGGCACACCTTCAGCCTTTCATTGCATCTTGAGGGAAACAATTTCTTGCATATGGCATCAGCAATAAGAGGAAAAAACAATTTAGAAAATCATTCTGTAAAACTAACTTCCATAAAAGTGTATAATGCTGTAATGTATAAAATGAACAAACGCAAAGTGCTCAATAATACTCTATGTTGTTCATGAGTGTAACAAAAGCTTTGGCTCAGGTAGCTTCATTATGTTATCCTTGTTCACAAAAGTAAATAAATCCATCAGCTAATACAATGGCTTATTATTAAAGGGCTGAAGAACGAGTCTAGTGTTTCATCGAGGCAGAAGATGAGACAGAATGTCTCTTTGAAGTAGTTTTGATGCTTCAGAGGTTTGCTGGAGCTAATTGAGAAGGATGATGTGGAAAATTGCCTCCTAGAGGTTGAATTGGTGTGGTCCCTGGGGTCTTCCTCTCCAGTCCCCCCCCCCCCACAACTCTCTTTTGGACAGAGAGAAGGGGAAAGTAAATCTTTATGACCACTGCCATTCTTTCATTTTAAAAAGAAGATCATTGTGTTGGGAATCACCCTACAGTTGAGTAAAGAACTGTGTTCACTAGCACCAGGCTACTCTAAAAGTGAAAAGACTTAACTGTGAATACTTTGTAAGTGTTGGAACTGAAGCGCTTGGGTTGCACGTCACACAATTTCTCTAAGCAGAGGTCAGAAGTAGAGTGGATGATGTAGGGAGGAATGGACTGTGAGGGCTCTAAGCATTACAAACCATTCCACTGAATTTCAGAATTACGTTACTTGAAAGTAAAACTGAAAGTTTTACACAACTTTCAGGTTTAAAAAAAAAAAAATCCCACAATTTCTACATACTTATGTTGGGGGATTAATTTAAAAAAAAAAAAATCAAAAGTAACTAGTTAGGTTCTTTTTTTTTCTTTTTTTTTTCCCCTCTAACTAAAGGATTGCAGTTGGGAAACTCAAGACTGAATTTAACCATCTCTAACTCAAAATATTAAACTGCAGTAAGCAAGAAACCGAAGTGAGATAACAATCTTCAGAGTTACTCTGAGCCTGATGGTGATGTCGTACTTCAGAACAAGGATGTAAATTTACAATTAACTTCATATGGATTTATTGTAGTGTAAGTGGGTGTGGGAAACATATTTTTGCTGATGGATAAAGATTATTTTATCTTTATGTAGCATATTGTTATAGAATTAACAGGATGGATTTCAACCTACTTGCTTTTAGCCAGCTCTTCAAGCACAGCACTCCTAGTGTTCAATACATAGATGTTTTCAAAAACTATTTAAAGTCTATTATTTTTCATTACAGTCAAGAGGAACTTTGATTTGCTCACCTTTGCAGTTGCCCCGGTAGGCTATTTCCAGCTGAGGGTCTTTGCATTTTGCCCGCTGAAATTCACACCGGGACAGGAAAGTTCTTCCATCAGATGCACAGAGTGACTTCTGAGGGGAACCTGCACAGTCCAGGCTGCATTCTCTGTCTTTGTCTTGGTCTACTCTCAAAAACTAGAAAAAAAAAAAATAATGCTGTAGGAATGCCATTCCCATGTGAAAACTGCTCTGTGATCTCCTTCCCCAGGGAAGACATATAAATATTGCCCAAAACTGAAAAGAAAGATTTGCCTTTTAAGCCTGTTCAAATAATAGCTGATTCATTCTATCTGGGGTTATTCAGCTGCTGTTATGAAATGGCAGTGATTGCAACACTTCTGTAACATACACAAAATCCACTATCACAATTCAGAAATCTCTGAACATCCTTCAACCATTACGAAGCTGAAAACAGTGGGTTGGAGCCTTTAGAGCAAAACCGATGATGGCAGAAACATTCTTCACAACAAAAATGAGAGAGCAACGGAAACTTGTCTATTTTATTAGCTATGCATTAAGTAGTCTACAACAACAAGCTGAAAAATCTGTTCTAAGACCTAAACAGGATTTTTAAGATCAATACTCATCTAAAATTATAATACCTCCAATAGCCTCAGTGCAAGAGGCTTGAGAAGAAACTCGGCAACATAGGAGAACCTGGTGAAGCACCTTATTAAACACAACAGATCATTTATTCTTGCAATGCCCATATTCAAAATCTGAAGACTCCTCAGCAAAACAGAAACTTCAGGTATAATTGATAGAACTATTTGTAATTGTACATATGCTTGCCTATAAGAATGTATGCCAAGATTGAAGAAAGAGATGTTATAGCTTGCACTTTTTCCACGGACACCAGTCTTACAACATGCATGATGGAGTCTCAGCTGCCATCCCAAAGTGCCCCACCATGGGTGAGCAGAAAAGACAAAACCTGAACCAGGCTGTGAGCAAAACAGTCTGGAGTAAAATAATTTTATTTAAGTAGTTGCCAACCAACAAAAACCTCAGAGTGCTCTTCTGAGCACGCTCTGAGCCCTGGCATGGGTTGCCCACTACTGCAGACCCTCTGGAGTGTCCCTGCCCCCCCATGGGTTGCCCACGGGCCACGGTCCCTGGGGACTATCCTTGTGCCAGCGTGGGCCACCTGTGGGCTGCAGTTTTTTTTTTTTTTTCTGGACAGGCAGAGGGTGGTTTGTGTCCTCCTCTCACACCGGAGAGCCCTGCAAAGCCCCTGCGACTCAGACCCTAGCAGCTCTGCCCATGGTACCACACATTCTCCCTTTATCAGAAATTCAGTCTCATCTCCTCCAGAAGACAGTGAGTGGGTACAGGCTGTCAGAAGTGATTTAGGTTGTTCTCATTACCAATTTCAACAGATGCTCCCCTTTCTAGTTCGACACGAAGGCACACTGAACCTGGTCTAGTTGTTCATCCCTCCCTCCCCGCAAGACTGCAGGCACGGCTGATGAGTTTGGCATCATCCTTGGCACTGTGAAAAGCAGAGCTGCTCACTCTGAAACCCTCTGCCAAAAAAAAAAAAAAAAAAAGAAAAAAAAAATCCATTCTGATGCTGCTGCATGCCAGCCAAAACCAAAGATAGTATTTTATCTTCAGAGTTCCTGAAAAGTGGGGACTAGCAAGAAGGTGAACTCAGTCCTCAGATTAATTTCTCTGACATTTTGCTGTTTCTGAATAAGGCCAAAATTAAGCAAAGCATATAGCTACCAGGAGATAATAATTCTCCTAAGCATTAGGAGGCACCTGAGAAAAGGTCTTCATCCAGCCGAAGCCCTGTTTTCATTGGTGCTACTTTATTGTCATAAACCTCAGGTACAGGAAATTTTGAACTTCAGATTAGAAGCTGACAGAGGAAAACTTCATGCAAAAAAAGAGGACAATGAGTGGTACTTGAGCAGGAAAAAGTAGCACAGGCTAAAAAAATCAGGAAACTTTTTGCTACATACAGTTTCCCTGCATTTTATTACACAAAAAAAAAAAAAAAATGCATAGAGAGTCATAAATCTCCACAATCTTCATACTTAAACTGTGGTCTATTTGCATTTCCTGCCACGTAATGTGAGGAAATACAGACAACATTCTGGAGAGTATTCCTGAGAATGGAGAGACCATCTCAAAGCTATCACTTTAGAATAATAGTCATGTGGTTGGATTTTGACCAGAATTTTTATGTTTTAGTGGCAAAGGGACATGAAAAGGAAAGTTTACTTTTCCCAAAGTTTTTGAGCAACTTTTCATTTTTAACAATAATTAGCTTCAGAAGCAAATTACTCACAAATTACACACAAACCCCAAACCTGGAACTTAGCTATCAAGCTCCACGTGTGGGGAAGAGATGTTCCTTCTCCCCCTCCTTTCAGTGCCATTTTGCAGATCCTGTTTTCTGACAGAAAGTAATAATTAGTTGAGCTGAGCGGGAAGGGAGAAAAACTGGTCATCTCCCTTTACCTGCAAAACAAGCAATAGTGATGACAGGCTTCCACGACTGTGACTGATCTACAAATTGTTTTGGTCCTCAGAGCCTGGCCAGGAGCCCTGATGAGTTGCAGCGCAGTTGCAGAATTCCAGTATTCCCCTTCACTGTCTCACACACCAAAGACTCTTAATACTGGTTGAAGTGTGCCCCCCTGTAGCGCCAGCAGTCCCAGTGATCTTTCATCCCCCTGTAACTGGAGTTTGGTAACACTAGAACTGTCAGAGTATGAAGCAGTAGATACCTGAAACCTTGCTTATGCTGGGGAAAATATTTTTCTACTCTGTTTTCTGCTTTATCTTTCAGCTTTGTTCTTGTCACTGGTCCCACATCTGGGCTGTGGGTGGTTAGGATACTTATTTCCTCAACCGCAAGCAAGCTGCAGTCTAAGACAAGGTTTTTCCAGTACCTCAAGAGTAGGCATTCAATGGTTTCTTTACTGTGTTATTAAATCATTTATCAAGATAACATGTCCATTAACTCGCTCACTGCTATGGCATAACATTTATCTCCTCTTTACCTTATGCTACCTACTGTTACGCAGGGATCCAGTGTCATTCCCTCTGGTCTACATCCTGCCTCCACATCACTGCTAGGGCAGAAAAGTCTTTGGACAAAACTGAGTTATGTGCACATCTGTATTTCCAATGCCCAAATCTGCGATCCCATCGCCTATACTGCAGAGCAACTCTCTTTCCACCTAAGGAAATCACAAAGTATACTCGGAGAAAAATGGCACATGGCTAGGGAGTCAACAACCGGATACACCTACAAGACAAATTCCAAGAGCAAGAGAGCAGAAGAGTTGAGACTAATGTTACAGTGTGGTGACGGGGAGTGCAAGCATCTCTCTGTATTGGAGGAAAAGCTGACAACAGACACACTGGGGCTGAGGCGTAAAGATTAGTTATTGAATCTGGCTCACAGCCTCTTAAACAGGAATGGGAAATGCTCTGCTCTTACGTTTCACAATATAGTGGACAGCTGTGGATTGTCTTTGCTCAGCGGCCACTGTGTGATTAATCTGAGAAAGGTAGGGCAGTGTTCCCCAACTCCTTTTTTTTTTTTACTTTTTTTTTATTTGAGCCAGCTTTAACTCTAAGAATGTCTACTTGCAGAGACATCCTTAGCACAAACAGGCTGCACACAGAGCATAGCTCATAACTATGTTAAACCTACTTTTACTTGCTTTAATGTAAATTTTCCTACTGCGGTTGAAACTGCTTCTTTTCTGTCTATGGAGAGAAACTCCATTCGCTTCTGTGAGATCGAGTCGGAGTCTTTGCACTAGGACAAAGAAAGACCTTCAAGTTCTTGGATTTGGACCATGTCAGAGGTTTTCAACTTTTCTTCAAATTATAGACCCCTTCAGCTTCCACTTGGACCTACATACCCTCCACTGACAGTAGGTATTTAAACATACTGACAACAGGTTTTCATTCTTTTACTTTTTGTGGGCCCCTTATGACTGATATACAGACTTTCTCTCTGATCAAGTGAAAACTGCTGTTTCAAAATCCAAAATGAAGTTCATGCCTGCTTGCAAAACAGGAGAGGAACACTTCATCTTGGGGGGGCTGAGGGCCAAAAAGGCCTGAAATACAAGCAGAAGGGAAAAGATGGATGCTAGACATCACTGTTTTGCTTGGAAAAGCCTAGTGCAGACTACAGCTTTGAAAGGCAATTTCTTTATCTTGTATCTGGTTACTGTAAGATGTTGAGTAGAACAGTCTGACTTCCTTGCTGCTGGCATGGGAGGTCTGTGAACAAACTACGGAGCAGCGCAGCCTAAAGTGGCTCCGTGCTTGGGGTTCTGTGCTGTTGAAAAACGTGCTGATTTCCAGTGATTTATATAGCCATGCTGTTTCTGTCTGAGAGCTGGTTGAAGGGCAGATGTGGAAATCTCCAGGCTAGGAATATTTTGCTCCCTCTGGGCTCATCTAAAATGGAAAAATGAGTTAGACAATAGTAATATATATGTGTATATACATATATATACACGCACATATGTATGCATGTATATATATATACACACACACATGATTGCATATATATCCACACATGCAGACTATAATATATAAAGTCATATTCCCATGTATATTTCAGACAATGATATTTAAATATCAACATGCTGTAGTCTGCCTTACAGAGCACTCTAACTAGCTAGACTGTCTTAGTTAATCTGCTTTATTAAAAGCACCACACATTTCTTCAAGATTTACTTCATCACTCTTCTGCCAAGGAATGAAGCAGAAGGTACATTTGCAGAACAAACCCCGCTCTCAACAATGCCACAGAAAAGCATTCAAACCCAGCAATAAAATGTATGGAAAACCTAAGTTCTCCTTATCCTATTCTTGAGTTATTTAGGACAGTACCAGAAGATACCTTCAAAATGACAACTCTGTATAACTGCTGTGCTTAACCTACCTTTAACGGGCTAGTTCACCTTGTGCTGTCCCACTGAACCAAAACAGTCTTTTACGACTGTCCCAGGACAAACCCAGAGCTGCTTACTTCAAATCGTGACCTCCTGCTTTGTCCAGACATGCAGGACATCATCATGAAGGTTAAACTTGCATGGAAGAATTTACACAGAAAGCTATCACATACAGGACTAATCAGATACTATTCTGGTGAG